GGATCTGTACAGGAAGGACTGGTTGCACCTGAACTGGAGGGGCACCAATATCCTGGGCGTTAGTATTGCTAGAGCTCTTCGGGAGGGTTTAAATTAGTTTGGCCAGGGCATGGGAATTGGAGTTACAGATCGGAGGATGGGGTAGCTGGTGTGCAGGCAGATACAGCATGCAGAGAGTCTGTGAGGAAGGATAGACAGTTGACAGGGCAAAGTTACAGTCAGTGTGATGGGTTGAACTGTGTCTATTTTAACGCAAGAAGTGTCAGGAATAAGGGTGACGAATTTAGAGCATGGATCAGTACTTGGCACTACAATGTTGCGGCCATTACGGAGACTTGGATAACACTGCGGCAGGAATGGTTGTTGGATGTTCTGGGGTTTAGATGTTTCAAAAGAAGTAGGGAGGGAGGTAAAAGACGTGTAGGAGTGGCATTGCTAAACAGGGATGGTATCACAGCTGCAGAGAGGGAGATAGGCAAGGAGGGTTTGTCTACTGAGTCAGTATGGGTGGAAGTCAGAAACAGGAAAGGAGCAGTCACTTTAATTGGGAGTTTTGTATAGACCCTCCAATGGCAACAGAGATGCTGAGGAACGGATTGGGAGGCAGATTTTGGAAAGGTGCAGAAGTAATAGGTTTGTTGTCATGGGTGACTTCAACTTCCCTAATATTGACTGGAGCCTCCTTAGTGCAAATAGTTTGGATGGAGCCGATTTTGTCAGGTGTATCCAGGAAGGATTTCTGACTCGATATGTAGATAGGCCGACTAGAGGGGAGGCCATATTGGATTTGGTGCTTGGCAGCGAACCAGGCCAGGTGGCAGATCTCTCGGTGGAAGAGCATTTCGGTGATAGTGATCACAACTCCCTGACTTTTACTATAGTCAGGGAGAGGGATAGGAGCAGGCGGAATGGGAAAGTATTTAATTGGGGAGGGGGAATTACAATGCTATTAGGCAGGAACTGCGGAGCATAAATTAGGATCAGACGTTCTCAGGGAAATGCACGACAGAAATGTGGAGGTTGTTTAGGGAGCACTTGCTACAAGTGCTGGATAGGTTTGTCCCACTGAGGCAAGGAAGGGATAGTCAGGTGAAGGAACCTTGGATGACAAGACATGTAGAACATCTAGTCAAGAGGAAGAAGGAAGCTTACTTAAGGTTGAGGAGCAAGGATCGGACAGGGCTTTAGAGGTCTACAAGGTAGCCAGGAAGGAACTGAAGAATGGACTTGGGAGAGCTAGAAGGGGGCATGAAAATGCCCTGGCGGGTAGGATTGAGGAGAACTCCAAGATGTTCTATCCTTGTGTGAGGAACAAGAGGATGGCCAGAATGAGGGTAGGGCTGATCAGGGATAGTGGAGGGAACTTATGCATGGAGTTAGAGGAGGCAGGGGAGATCCTTAATGAATACTTTGCTTCAATATTCTCCAGTGAGATGGACCTTGTAGTTTGTGAGCACAGCGTGAAACAGGCAGATATGCTCGAACAGGTTGATGTCGGGAAGGAGGATGTGCTAGAAATTTTGAAAAGACAAGTCCCCTGGGCCAGAGGGGATATACCCAAGGTTGCTACGGGAAGCAAGGGAAGAGATTGCTGCCCCTTTGGCGATGATCTTTGTGTCCTCACTGTCCCCTGGAGTAGTACCAGATGATTGGAGGGTGGCAAATGTTATTCCCTTGTTCATTAAAGGCAATAGGGATAATCCTGGGAATTACAGACCAGTCGGTCTTACTTCTGTGGTGGGCAAATTATTGGAGAGGATTCTGAGAGATAGTATTAATGATTATTCGGAAAAGCACAGTTTGATTAGAAATAGTCAGCATGGCTTTGTGAAGGGCAGGTCATACCTTACAAGCCTTATTAAATTCTTTGAGGATGTGACAAAACACATTGATGAAGCAGTAGATGTGATGTATATGGATTTTAGCAAGGCATTTGATAAGGTTCCCCATGGTAGGTTCATTCAGAAAGTAAGAAGGCATGGGATTCAGGGAAATTTGACTGTCTGGATACAAAACTGGATGTCCAATAGAAGACAGAGGGTCGTAGTCGATGGAAAATATTCCACCTGGAGCTCGGTGACCAGTGGTGTTCCGCAGGGATCTGTTCTGGGACCTCTGCTCTTTGTGATCTTTATAAATGACTTGGATGAGTAAGTGGAAGGGTGGCTTAGTAAGTTTGCCGATAGTTGGTGGAGTTGTGGACAGCGTGGAGGGCTGTTGTAGGTTGCAACGGGACATTGACAGGATGCAGAGCTGGGCGAAGAAGTGGCAGATGGAATTCAACATGGAAAAGTGCTAAGTGATTCATTTTGGAAGGTTGAATTTGAGTGCAGAATATACAGTTAATGGCAGGATTCTTGGCAGTGTGGAGGAACAGAGGGATCTTGGAGTCCATGTCCGTAGACCCCTCAAAGTTGCTACCCAAGTTGATAGGGTTGTTATGAAAGCGTATGGTATGTTGGCTTTCATTGGCAGGTCGAATTGAGTTTAAGACCTGTGAGGTTATGCTGCAGCTCTATAAAATCCTGGTTAAACCACACTTGAAATATTGTGTTCAGTTCATGTTGCCTCATTATAGGAAGGATGTGGAAGATTTAGAGAGGGTGCAGAGGAGATTTTCCAAGATGCTGCCTGGACTGGAGGGCAGGTCTTATGAGGAAAGGTTGAGGGAACTAGGGCTTTTTTCATTTGGGCAAAGAAGGATGAGAGGTGACTTGATAGAGGTGTACAAGATGATGAGAGGCATAGATAGAGTGAATAGCCAGATATTTTTTCCCAGGGCGGAAATGACTATTACGAGGGGGCATAATTTTAAGGTGATTGGAGGAAGGTATGGGGGGATGTCAGAGGTAGGTTCTTCACACAGAGAGTGGTGGGCATGTGGAATGCATTGCGGGAGAGGGTAGTGGAGTCAGATACATTAGGGACATTCAAGCGACTCTTGGATAGGCACATGAATGATAGTAAATGCAGGGTAGTTTGATCTTAGAGTAGAATAATAGGTTGGCACAACATCATGGGCTGTTGTCTGCTCTATATACTATTTGTAAACATTTCAAGAAATTATGTAATTGCTTATCAGGCAGCTGGATGGTTTCAGCATGTGTCAGGGTATCAGCTTATTTTTTCATAGAATCCCTACAGTGTGGAAACAGGCCATTTGGCCCAACAAGTCCACACTGCCCCTCTGAAGAACATCCCACCCAGACCCATTCCCCTAATTTCCCGTGTCTAACCCAAACATCCCTGGGCACTACGAGCAATTTATCACAGCTAATCCACCTAGCATACACATCTTTGGACTGTGGGAGGAAACCGGAGCACCCGGAGGAAACCCATGCAGAAACAGGGAGAACGTTCAAACTCCACGCAGTCACCCAAGGCTGGAGTTGAACCCAGGTCCCTGCCGCTGTGAGGTAGCAGTGCTAACCACTGAGCCACCCATGCTGCTGTATGGCATGTATATAAAGTCAACCATGTTAAATGTTGCCATGGACTACACTGAGATTTTCCAATGCATTATTGAAACAGTATCTACAAAAGTAGGGTGTAGAAGTTCAGTTGTCCCATCCAGAGAGACCTGATAAAAACCATTATTGGCATCTAGCTTTATAAGTATTCTACAAGTGGAAGGCATTGCATAACTTTCATCAACTGTAGACAAGGGATCAATTTATCTGGCAATTGCTTCATTGAGTTGTGGGAGATCCACAGAACTTTGTATTGAGCCATTAGTTTCAGGAACTGTGTCTATCTCTGAGCACCATTCTGTAGGTTCAGACACTAGGGAAGTAACCCCATTTAAAGTTTTTGTGAAGATCAATAACTCCATATTTGCCATGTCATCCAACTACTTCTTCACATCTAGCAACATCCCTCATCCATTAACAGAAGAAAGAGACAAACTGGTTTGGCGTCACCTTCAAAGTAGCTTTATAAGGGGTTTCAAGTTTTCCCAATCTTGTGACCAATTTGGGATATAAGTGTTCAAAGACAATGTTTAAGCATTCCTGTACCCTTGGGAGGAAGCTAAGAGTAAAGCATATCTTCTGAATCAATATGGAAGACTGCTGGATACTGAAGATGCATGCTTTTTCCACATATGTGCAATCTTTGAATATCAGGATGATGTGAAACATCACTTCAACCATAATTATAATATTCCCAGCTACACAAAGCATTAAATCAGGTGGCTATATGCTCACCGTAATTCATCACGGGTTAACATCTGAGATAACTGTGACACTGGCAACTAACCTCATCCCCAATTTTTACACTCAAAATACCTGAAGCTTATTTGAGAAGAAGTTGTTTAACTTCCTTGTTAAGATTGCTGTTGAGTAAGGCTAAGTCGTTTCTAACACTGCTAAATGATAGCCAGTAGTCTTACTTCTGCTTCCCAGCTAAGGGATTGAACCTGCTTTGAGGATCAAGCAGTCGGCCTGTTATTGTGGGTGCTCAATCTGGATTTATCCTCTTGGCTGTTTACTCCTCCTGTTCTGAGGAAGGGTCACCAGACTCAAAACATTAACTCTGTTTTTATTCCTTCACAGATGCTGCCAGACCTGCTGAGCTTTTCAAGCGACTTCTGTTTTTGTTGTTGTTTTACTCCTCTCAGTACTTTTTCATTTCCCTGAAATTCTGTTCCCCCATTACTGACTGTAAAAAGCTTTTGCAGTTTTATAGTTGTCTTTGGTTTCTCTGCAAGAGTATTTTGTTTTTGGAGACTATATACTTAAAGAAAAAACCTCTTTAATGAATGAGTAATATTCAGTTCAGTTTAAGGTAAACAGATGAATTGTGGTAGCTGAGTGAATTGGTTTAATATATTTTCCATTCTTCTTGATGTGTTATTAATCACTTTTTACTTTGTAAAGAAATGGAATCAACACTCACCATTGCCCAGTTTGCCATTACTTAAAAAAAAAGTTAAAGGGAATAAAACATTGAAGTGTTTCTAATCAGTTGTTTCCAAAATGTATATTATACATATTTTGTAGGATGGAAAGAAAAAATTTGATAAAGAAAGTGAGAAATACTATTCTATATTGGAGAAGCATTTGAATCTGTCATCAAGGAAAAAAGAAGCACATTTACAAGAGGTAAGAACATTCTTGCCTTATAAAACTGTTTTAAGGGATATTTATTACAGTTTGGAAATATTTATTAAGAAATTCCTTAACTAATATCAGATTGGCTTCTGCTCATCCCGAAAATGACCACTTTCACACATCCAATTTGTATGATTTAGCACAAATTATAATCTAGCAAATCACAATATCCTAAAGAAAATTTGGGCCCCAATTCGAATGTCATGTAAGTGATGGTATTTGGATGATTTAAAATCATAATATCTGTTTCTGTTATTTTAAAGGATATACTGATTTGATTCTTGACTGATTCTGTCCTAACTGGGTCTTAAGCTAAAACCTATATTCAAGTTTAAAGGTTAGAGAGTGAGCATCATGTTAGAATTCTGCACTGGTACTATTTAGAAATAGTCAACCTTTTAAAAGAGCTTCCATTTAGATCAGCAAAATCTTCCTGCCCCAAAATTGTAGGAGGGGGAAGTAGAAGGAGGTTGGCGGCAGCATATGTTCTAGTCTGTCTCCTTTATTGTCTCGGTGGCTCAGTGGTTAGCACTGCTGCCTCACAGCGCCAGGGACCCGCGTTCAATTCCACCCTCAGGTGACTGTCTGTGTGGAGTTTGCATGTTCTCTCCGTACCTGCGTGGGTTTCCTCTGGGTACTCCGGTTTCCTCCCACAGTCCAAAGATGTGCAGGTTAAGTGGATTGGCCATGCTAAATTGCTCATAGTGTTCAGGGATGTGTAAGTGGGTTATAGGGGAATGAGTCTGGGTGGGATGCTCCAAGGGTTGGCATGGACTTGTTGGGCTGAAGGGCCTGTTTCCACACTGTAGAGATTCTATGTCTCAGACCTTCCTTTCAGAAATCAGACCATCTGTCCCTGTACCCTTGAATATAAATGTGGTGGTTGGGACTCTCCGTAAATGAGATGGGTTGAGCAAACTAACAGCTCTTGCTTAAATCCAAGTAAAATGATTTGCAAAAGTGAATCTGGAACTTTATTAGGTATGCCAACATGCAATCTAATTAAATCTTTGAAGTTTTAAATCAAATCAGATTGGCATTCCAAACAAGATGCAAATTCCTTTTATTACAGGCTGATACACAAATTGACAAGGAGCGGCAGAATTTTTATGAAGCTTCATTGGAATACGTGTTCAAAGTTCAAGAAGTTCAGGAAAAGAAGAAATTTGAGTTTGTTGAACCTGTAAGTAATAGAATTATAGAATGGTTACAGCCCAGAAGGTTATCATTAAGCACATCATGTCTATGCTGGCCCTCCAAAGGGATCATTCACCTCATGCTACTCCCTGCTAATTCCCAATATTTCTATGACTTTTTCCTTTTTAGATAATTATCTAATTCACTTTTTGAAGCTTCAAATGACCCTGAACCCGCATACTCCTAGACAGTACATTCCAGATCCTAATGATTTTTTCTCATGTTATCACTGCTTCTTTATCTGATTACCTTGCTGATAACTGTGCACTCTAGAGTCACACAGTATATAAACAGTCCCTTTGTCCCACAGTGTCTATGACAACCAACAAACAACAAACCACACTAATCCCATTTACTTACACTTTGTCCATAGCTTACTATGCCCTTATATTGTAAATGCTCATTGAGATGCTTCTTAAATGTTACAACAGTCTGCCTCCACCCCCCTCTCAGGTAGCATGTTCCATATTTCTACCAACCTCTGGGTAAAAAATAAATTTCCTCAAATCCCCTCTAAACCACCTAATCCACACTTTAAACTTACACCCTCTGGTCTAAGTGATGCCTACCAGGGGAGAAAGATTCTCCTAATGCACTCTGTCTGTGCCTCTCATAATGTTGTATATCTCAATCAGATTGTCCCTCAGCCTCCTCTGCAAACCCAGCCTGTCCAATCTCTCCTCATAACTGTGACTTTCCATTGCAGGCAACATCCTGGTGAATCTCCTCTGCATCCTCTCCAGTACAATCATGTCACTCTGAATGCAGCAGACATTTAGGGGAGTCTGGGTTTGTTTATTCCACCTTTCCCCTTTGACGCAGTATACCTTGATTATGCTTCATCAAGGACCTTCCCTCCATCATAAGGTTAGAAGTGGAGATGTTCAACACCATTTGTGACTCCTTAGATACTGAAGCAGTCCATGTCCAAATGCAACAAGATCTGGAGATTTTTTGGGCTTGGGCTGACAAATGGCAAGTAACATTTGGGCAGACAAATGCCAGGCATTGACCATCTCCAAGAAGAGATAATTTAACCACTGCCCCTTAACATTCAATGATGTTACCTTCACTGAAACCCCGCTATCAACATCGTTGGAGTTATCATTGACCAGAAACTCAACTGGACTTGCCATATAGATACAGTGGCTATAACAGCAAGTCAGAGGCTAGGAATATTGTAGTGAGTAGCTCAGCTTGAGTCCCCGAAGCCTGTTCACCATCTGCAAGGTACAAGTTAGGAGCGTGGTGGAACACTGCCTGCTTGCCTGGATGACTGCAACTCCAGGACAGGGAAGCCCACTTGCTTGGCACCACATCCACAAGCATCCACTTCCTCCATCACAGGGGCTGCTCAGTGGCAGCAGTGCATACTGTTGACAAGATGCATTGCAGGAAATTGTCAAAGATTCTTAGACAATACCTTCAAAACCCACAAACGTACCATCTAGAAGCATAAGTACAGCAAACTTAGAGGAACACCATGATCTGAAAGTTCCCCATCCAAGCTGCTCATCATCCTGACTTAGAAATATATTGCCATTACTTCAGTGTTGTTTGATAGAAAGCTGGAATTCCCTCCCTGATGGCATTGTGGATCTACCTAAAGCACATGGACTGCAGCGGTTCAAGAAGGCAGGTCATTACCACCTTCTCAAGGCCAACAAAGGACAGGCAATGGATTTCCAAAGTGAATTAAGAAAATTCTATCCCCTGTATTTTTCCCCTATGGGCCCTCATTCTCTCCTGACCATGGCCCCTCTTACCTCCATAGCACCCTGTAGCAATTTTTCCACTCCCATAGCCTCTCATACTCAATATGCTAAACAATCAAATAGTCCCTATGCAAACATAGTGTGAGCACATGCCACTTGTGTCCTCATCCTTTGCCCTTCCGAATCCATGCCAACTCATCTAGTATCCACATTGACATATCTCTGGAGGTGTACTGACAGAAAATGAGGTTGTGTGTATATTGATGATGTAACTATTGAAAGAAACACATTCTTACAGATACAGTAACAATAAGATGAAATTCCTTCAACTGATCCCATACGAAAACAAACATTTAAATAATCACTTGGAGCTGTTAATCAGAATGCTCACTAGGCAGATGCCACCATGTGAAAATTAGTTGTATAATGTCTGTTGTCAAGAGGAACACTAAAATCCAAACAGTTCTCTTTTAGCTCAACATTTATCTTTGGGCAGTTCCTTAACAGCTTTGGCAGTTCGGTCATCATCCCAGTCATCAGCAAAGTAATAGAAGCAGTCATCGACAGTACGATTAAGTGGGACTTATTCAACAATAACTTGCTCACTGGTACTCAATTTGGTACTCAATACACCAGGGCCACCCATTTCCTGACTTCATCACAACTTGAGGAAAGCTAAATGGATCTTGAGATATTGAGTATCTGAGCACAAATCACAAGACTGTTAATGGATCTATTCAAAGCGTACTTACAGTCACACCTGTAATACTGCAACCAATTCTGCTAATTGCACCATAACTCTGAAATTGTAGCATTTGTGACAAAACTGACATCGAACTTAAGATAACTGAACTATGAGGAGGGATTAAAGAGGCATGGATCATTTACTGTGGATAAATTAAGATCAAGGGAGTTTTCTTGAGATATTTAAAGGAATATAAAAATTGTTTGACATTGCTACCCTCCCCATAACTGGAAGATATGGGTTCAGACTGAAAAGCAGCAACCTGTTGAGACAGTCAGATGTAACAACTTCATAACAAGGGTGGCAAATGTTTTAAATGGAAAAGACTGAGAGTTCTCTGAGTCCATGCCAATATTGATCCCTCAAATAACATCATCAAAACAGTACTTTCTTACTTATTTCATTGCTGTTGGTAGGACCTAGCTGTGTGCAGATTGGCTGCTGGGTTTCGTTATATTAAAGCAATGATTACACTTCAAAACTACTCATTGGCTGCGAAGATTCTTAACATATCCTAAGGTCATGAGTGGTGTTAGGTGAAAGTTGGTGCTTTCAGTATGGACCCAATGGACTTTACAAATGAAGCATAATAATTCTAAATTAATATTTTCTTTCATGACTGAATAGCTTGATTTCAGTTGCACAGATTATATAATATCCCACAACTTTTTAACTTAGTTTCATTGTATGTGATTTAAGTGGAATAACTCTCATCGTCTATTTGCTGTTTAATTTTAACTCATCCATAATATGCTATATTTAAGCAGTACTTTTTTTAAAATAGCATTTGAAATAATTGACTTACATTGACAAATTGGATACTCTGCTTAATTTCCTATGTAAGTGTGAGAATAGTTATCTATTAATCCTTATAATGGCATCTATCGTTCTCTCTGACCCACATTTAATGACAAGGTAGGATAAATGTCACTTCAGATATAAATCTTCCGCAGAAGTGCTAAAGCAGAGTTGGGAATATCTTGTGTGTTAGAATTTCCAAACAACACTATCATTTTATTACATACCATCAGTTCTAAGGAAGGGTCACCGGACCCAAAACGTTAACTCTGTTTTTCTCCTTCACAGATGCTGCCAGACCTGCTGAGCTTTTCCAGCAATTTTGTTTTTGTCCCTGATTTACAGCATCCGCAATTCTTTTGGTTTTTATCTATCATTTTATTAATTGTTTCTTCTGTGAAAATCTGCTTATTTTTCCACAGTTGTTGGCATTTCTTCAAGGGTTATTCACATTCTACCATGAAGGCTATGAGCTTGCACAGGAATTTGCTCCATACAAACAGCAGCTACAGTACAATCTTCAAAATGTAAGATATCCTTTATTATAAAACCCCAATGAAAGGTTTAGATCAGTAGTGCAGGGTTCTATGATGATTTAAAAGGTGGTAAGTTAGGAAAGAGTGATTTGTGATGCCAAGCTTGGTTTTAAAGTCTGACATTTTGAACAGGAAGAATAACTTAGAAGCCAAGAAACTCAGGAATTTTTAGCACCTGAAAAAGGACGAAAAATATCTAACAAAATATGCATTGGCTAAATTTTTAGCTAGGTAGTGGTGTTTTCCCAAATGATCTCTGCTGGCACCTCCTCTACCAGTGTGTGGGACGAAGTAAAGGTTTTTTATGGTTGTGTCCAGCTACCATTTCTCCTTTGTCTTCGCTTTGTCTTAGGCCTATCTAGTGCTTAGTGATAGATAATAAGCTACAATGAAATATCGAAAAGGATAACATCAAGACTTATTGCACAAAAGCAATGAATGAGCTACAGTTGGTCAGCCATAATTATGAAGAACTTAGCAGGTCAGTACAGATGCATCTGCTACCTTCAAAAAGCTAGACTGTGTGACATGACTAGAATGGAAGGAGCTAATGTAACAAGAACATTTAACTCCTACAGAACCATGATCTTGGACAATAGTAAGGATACAGAAAGAAATAAGAATGTGAAGATTCTTGCAATTGCAACTTAGAAGGAACAGGAGAGGAATGTTTACTGAAGTGTTAAACATGATATTATCATTTAAATAGAAAAAGTTAAGCAAGTTTGTGACAGAGAAGGAAACGTTTGAGGTTAAATCATGATTTGCTAGTTAGTAACTGAATTAAATTAAAATTTAATTGAAGAGCATATTTAGTCTTGTATCCATCACCTAAGTAAATATTCCAAAAGAAGTAGTCTTCAAAGTGCCTTTACTAATGTTTACTCCCAGGAAGTGCTCCCCCTGGTGGGTGCAGCATGTCTAATGCGTTTTCAGTGGAGAGAACTGCAGATGGTCTGGGCTGATGACCTCGAGCAGGTCTTCGCTTGAAGCTTCACTTCAAACTCTGCCATCCTGACATGGGAAATTTATAACTGCAAAATTCTGTTCTTTTTTTTTTTGGTTGGTCTGATAAAGTGCCTTTTAGACTCGAAACGATAGCTTACTCTCTTTCCACAGAGATCCTGCCTGACTTGCTGTGATTTCCAGCATTTTTTGTTTTCAGTACTTAGACTGGAATGTTTTGGCTTAATTTTTCTCATGAATTTAGTCTGTAATTTGTCTGGCATTTCAGAACCCTACCGTCACACTGTCTAAGATGCTCTTTTTGCTGAGTTTATGGAGGAACAGTGGATACTTATGTTTAACTGCACATGTGCACTTCCAGAAGTTGATGTTAGTTTGCAGATAAAGGCAGAACTGTTACACCCATTGTTATTAAATAATTCTGTCATGCGTTTGACTGTTGAGCAATAAAATATATTATTATGCTTTTATTTCATTCAAGACCAGAAATAATTTTGAAAGTACAAGGCAGGAAGTAGAAAGACTGATGCAGAGAATGAAGTCAGCCCCTCAGGATTACAAGCCACCTGGTCAATGGACAATGGAGGGATATCTGTATGTGCAGGAAAAACGTAAGTGTGCAGAAGCTGCACTTTTTAGTTGTTTTCTTAACAATTACTGTTTTAAAATAAATTTGTGAAGTTTCTGCAGCCACAAGGGAAGGCAATGGCCCCTTGGTATTATCGCTGGACTGTTAATCCAGAGGCCCAGGTAACATTCTGGGGGAGCAAGGTGCAGAGCTGGATGAACACAGCAGGCCAAGCAGCATCATAGGAGCAGAAGGGCTGAAGTTTCGGGCCTAGACCCTTCGTCAGAAATGGAGGAGGGGAAGGGGGTTCTGAAATAAATAGGGAGAGAGGGGGTGGCAGATAGAAGATGGATAGAGGAGAAGATAGGTGGAGCGGAAACAGACAGGTCGAAGAGGTGGGGATGGAGCCAGTAAAGGTGCGTGTAGGTAGGGAGTTAAGGAGGGGACAGGTCTGTCCAGGGAGGACGGACAGGTCAAGGGAGCGGGATGAGGTTAGTAGGTAGGAGATGGGGGTGCGGCTTGAGGTGGGAGGAGGGGATAAGTGGGAGGAAGGACAGGTTAGGGAGGCAGGGACGAGCTGGGCTGGTTTTGGGATACGGTAGGGGGAGGGGAGATTTTGAAGCTTGTGAAATCCACATTGATACCATTGGGCTGCAGGGTTCCCAAGCACAATACGAGTTGCTGTTCCTGCAACCTTCGGGTGGCATCATTGTGGCACTGCAGGAGGCGGCATTTCAAGCCCACCGACTCCCACAGCTACCTAGAATACACCTCCTCCCACCCATCTTCCTGCAAAAATGCCATCCGGTATTCCCAATTCCTTCGCCTCCGCCGCATCTGCTCCCAGGATGAGGCATTCCACTCCCATACATCTCAGATGTCCTCGTTTTTCGAGGACCGCAACTTCCCCCCTCAGTGGTCGAGAACGCCCTCGACCGTGTCTCCCGCATTTCCCGCAACTCATCCCTCACACCCCGTCCCCGCAGTAACAACCAAAAAAGAATCCACCTCGTCCTCACGTACCACCCCACCAACCTCCGGATCCAACACATCATCCTCCGACACTTCCGCCATCTGCAGTCCGACCCCATCACCAAAGACATTTTTCCCTCTCCACCCTTATCTGCTTTCCGGAGGGACCACTCTCTCCGTCACTCCCTTGTCTGCTCCACACTCCCCTCCAGCCCCACCACACCCAGCACTTTTCCCTGCAACCGCAGGAAGTGCTACACCTGCCCCCACACCTCCTCCCTCACTCCCATCCCAGGCCCCAAGAAGACTTTCCACATCAAGCAGATGTTCACCTGCACATCTGCTAATGTAGTATACTGCATCCGCTGTACCCGTTGTGGCCTCCTCTACATCGGGGAAACCAAGCGGAGGCTCGGGTACCGCTTTGCAGAACACCTACGCTTGGTTCGCAATAAACAACTGCACCTCCCAGTCGCGAACCATTTCAACTACCCCTCCCATTCCTCAGACAACATGTCCATCCTGGGCCTCCTGCGGTGCCACAGCGATGCCACCCGAAGGTTGCAGGAACAGCAACTCATTTTCCGCTTGGGAACCCTGCAGCCCAATGGTATCAATGTGGATTTCACAAGCTTCAAAATCTCCCCTCCCCCTACCGCATCCCAAAACCAGCCCAGCTCGTCCCCACCTCCCTAACCTGTTCTTCCTCCCACCTATCCCCTCCTCCCACCTCAAGCCGCACCCCCATCTCCTACCTACTAACCTCATCCCACCCCCTTGAAATGTCCGTCCTCCCTGGACTGACCTATCCCCTCCCTAACTCCCCACCTACACTCACCTTTACTGGCTCCATCCCCGCCTCTTCGACCTGTCTGCTTCCTCTCCACCAATCTTCTCCACTATCCATCTTCTATCCGCCTCCCCCTCTCTCCCTATTTATTTCAGAACCTCCTTCCCTTCCCCCATTTCTGATGAAGGGTCTAGGCCCGAAACGTCAGCCTTCCTGCTCCTCTGATGCTGCTTGGCCTGCTGTGTTCATCCAGCTCTCCACCTTGTTATCTCAGATTCTCCAGCATCTGCAGTTCCTACTATCTCTAACATTCTGGAGGCCCAGGTTCAAATCCTGCCAATGCAGATGGTGGAATATTAATTCAATAAAATATCTGGAATTAAGAATCCAATGATGACCATGAATCCATTGGTCGATTGTCGGAAAAACCCACCTGGTTCACTAATGTCCTTTAGGGAAGGAAACTGCCATCCTTTACCTGGTCTGGCCTACAAGTGACTCCAGACCCACAACAATATGATTGATTCTGAACTGCCCTCTGGGCAAGTAGGGATGGGCAATAAATGCTGCCTAGCCAGTGACACCTTCATGCCATGAATGAATAAAAAAAAACTCTTGAATTGCATTCCTTTACGTTATCAAAACATATATATTATTCTTGTAACTATTGGTGTTCTGATGACACACTACTTGTCACCTTTAAATTATTAATTAAATTGCAGCTTGGATTTTTTAAATAAATGTCTTTTCACTCTGCTGGTTAACAGATTCTGAATTAAATCCACTCTCACCCTGGTTCTACCTGATTGTGGTTGTGATGGCGGTGGTAGTGGAATGGGAAAGCTGGGTGCATGTATGTCCGAACACTGACTTTCTCACAATTCAACACAAATTGTCAACCTTATTCAGAATGGCCATGTGGTCAATTAGCAAATGAGGAAAAATATTGATAAAAAATCCACACTAGTGGGTTGTCTGTAATTTCCTGGGTTGGGATTCAAACAATTTGGATGATTTATAAAGATCTGTTTAATAGTTGTGTCTTGTATATCTGATCTATGAATACTTTATGCTGCACAAGTGTTTCAAAGGTAGAAACATATTAAAACCCCTCAACATTGAAATTTCTCTCAATGCTAGTACCAAAGCTGATTAAAAATGCAAAGTAAAAATAGGGTGCCGAGGATAATATTGACAAATGGCATGTTCCTCACAAGGAAATTTGAGTATGAGGTAAAGATGTCTTGCTGGAGGTGTATAGGGTCTTGATGAGATCTCACCTAGAACAATGTGTACAGCTTTGGTTCCAATATCTAAGGAGGGATATACTATATATAAAGAGAGTACAAATGGAGATTTACCGGCTTAATCCCTGGAATTGGTTTATGAGGAGATTCAGCCCATATTTTGTAGATCAGAGCTTCTCAAAGTCAGGGTTAGGACCACTGATAGGGTTACAAGCTGAAATTTAAGTTACATGCCCACTGAGTCAGGTAAATTTTTCACTGAGTGACGCCAACTATTGAAACTATTGAGTATCTTTTTCTTTTGTAAGCCGCCAAATCTTTCCAATCAGCAGTGTTGTACAAATCCCCACAATTTCAGTTGATTGATTGTATGCTGTCTATGTGAGTGGGTGAAAATGGCTTGCAGTACAGCCATTTATAACTCAGTATTCCAGATATCATATCAATTATAGCAGTGAAGACCTCAATTAACTTAATTTTATTTCTGGAATCGAAATAGAACAAAACTTCATTGTTCATTCCTTCATCATCATAAGTTTTGTACATTTTGAATTCCAACTAGACGTGTTCTTTATCAATTGTGAATCGTTATTCCTGTTATACAAACAACGTCCAAATCAAATCCTAATTGTTTTTATCTTTGTTAAAATAAAAGCTCCCTTCGTTCAATTTGGTCTTCAAACAACAGCTACATTTAAAAATGATTTAATTTTATACTTTTACTGTCATTGCTCCATTATGTGCAAACTGTTCATCAATAGTTCATTTTTTTTGTTTAGGACCCCTTGGATTTGCATGGATAAAGCACTACTGCACCTATGACAAAGCGACAAAAGCATTTTCAATGACATTATGTGAACCAAAGTCAGGGGGAAAATTGGTAAGTTCAAAATGTTACCTGATATAAATGGTCAAAAATAGACCTTCTGTTTATTTTTCGAGCAATAGCCTTACTTTTCTCCTACTGCCATGTTTGCATTTTTTAACCAGGTTTCCACATGCACGCCACTAAAAGGACCCTTATGAAACTGTGACCATTTTAGCTTTCTCTCATCATCATTTCTAACCTATCTATCACCTTTGTGAATGACTCCATCATTTTGCCCAATGTTCAAACTGAGTGGAAATACCTTACCCCTCCTGTCTATTGGTTTCTTCATTTCTGCATCAAATCATCCAGAATCTTCCAGGGTTATGCAATTGGCCTCCTCCAATGTCTCATTCTCAAGCAATCCTTTGAAACATTATCTTAAAGTACAGCATTAAATTTAATATTTGTGCTGGCAATACTTCAATCTATTTCATTATTGCTTCTCCCAGCTTCTGATTTATCATATTCAATATTTGATTATCAGAAATGTTGCCAATTAAATATTTGGGAATCCAAAGCCAATGTATTTGATCCTCACCACAGAGTCCCTTTACTAGACACCAAATCAATCCTTCATTTCTGATGAAGGGTCTAGGCCCGAAACGTCAGCCTTTCTGCTCCTATGATGCTGCTTGGCCTGCTGTGTTCATCCAGCTCTGCACCTTGTTGTCTCAGATTCTCCAGCATCTGCAGTTCCTACTATCTCACCAAATCAATCCCTCTCGCTGGCCATTGTCTTAACTGTCAACCAGATTGTTTGCAACATGGCAGCTTTATTGGTTCTGAATTGTGCTTCTAGCTCTATTTGTGCTCAATCACCTACTTCTCTGCTCCTGACTCTTTCATCTCCTAAAACTTTCCTCTATGCCTTTATTACCTATAGGCCTGATTACTCCAAAATCCTGACTAGCCTCCCACTAACCCAAAGCCCTTCAAATTCACTGCCCTTTACCAATTCAAATTCTTGGACATCTCAAAATTTCATTGCCCCAGATTGTTGACCTTCCCTTCAGCTGTCTAGCCCCATAACTTTGGAATTCCTCCATAATCTACTCTCTACTTTAAGTCACTCCTTTAAAGCCTACTTCTTCAAACAAACATTTGGTGACCTGTCCAAATATATCTTTGTGCAGCTTAGCATCAACTATTTTTTGTTAGCATGTTTATGAAATGCCTTCAGATATTTCACTGCATTAAAGATTCTATGTGAGTATAAGTTGTACTAAACTAGATATGGGAAGGAATTTTGAGCTGCCTTAATGCTCTCTTGGCACTAACAATACGTAGTTGGTATTATAAATTAGAATTGTAGCATTAGCTATACCTTAGAAGGACGATAACAATATAATCTTTTTCAAGGGTAATATTGATTTACCTCATTTAATCTGTACAGAATTGCTTGTCTGAAATTGTGCTTTATTCACCATGAAAATGCCTGATTTATTATTTTGGAATTAAATAGAATGGCCTTGTAACAGCTTCAGAAATATTCAAACTGAAGTTTTGCATTCGAAGAAAGACGGACTCGATTGATAAACGCTTCTGTTTTGATATTGAAGTCGTGGAAAGGTAAGATAAATTGTTACTAATTGGAATGATTCCTTAAGGTCAGTCAGTGTAAATTGCAAATAGGAAAGAGGCCTTTCAGCTTGAGCAGCCCATGTTGATATTGGTCCTGCATGAGCAGTCATTCTCATTACATATTCTGCCCTGTTCCTACATCCCTTCAATTAAACTTTCTTTTAAACATCTATCGAGGCTATTTTTAGATGTTGAAATTGTGTGTCAATTAAATCAAGTATTCATTTAGAAACATTGAAGGGACAGTGATCATAATATCATAAGTTTTAAGTTAATTGTGGAGAAGGACAATGACCAAGCCAGAATGAAAATCATTAATTACAGGAGAACAATTTAAATGAGATGAGAGTAAATTTGGTGCAGCTAATTTGGAACCTAAAATTATTGGCACAACTGTATTTGAACAATAGTCTGTCTTTAAAGAGAAAATACCTCAAATGCATCCTGTGAGCATGGAAGTTAGGCAACCTAAGTGAGAGATCTCTGGATAATTAGAGAGAGAGAAACAGGAAGATAGATAGACAGACAGCAAAATGAAGCAAAAAAGAAGTGCATATTGACAGATGTCCATTTGATATTGCAAGAAAAAGAACTATGATAAAAAAATGTTTTGAAGGGTAGTGTAAAATAAATAAGAGAAGCTAAAAGACAGTATAAGAACAGATTGGCAGCAAATATAAAAGGAAATCCAAAAATCTTCAACAGACATATGCATAGTAAAAAGTGTTTAAAAGTAAGAGTAGATTTAGGTAACGATCAATTTGGGGATTTACGTGTGGACATGCTAAAGGTGTACCTTGCATCTGTCTTTACTGAGGATGAGGATGCTTCCAATGTCATAGAAAAAGGAGGTAGTTAAGGCACTGGACGGATTAAAAATTGATGTGCATTAGAAATGCTGGCTGTACTTAAAGATAGTAAGTCATCAGAAGTTGATGAAGTGTATCCCAGGATATTGAGTGAAGAAAGGGTAGAAATTGCAGAAGTTTAACAATAATTTTGCAATATTCATTCTGTACAGGGATGGTGACAGAGGGCTGGAGAATGGCAACTGTTGCTCCCTTGTTCAACAATGGTTTGCAGGGTAAAGCACAGCAGCTGTAAACCAGTCAATTTAATCTCGGTGGTGGAAAGGCATTTAGAAGCAATAATTTAAGATAAAAATTAACAGTCGCTTCAACAAACATGGACTAATTAAGAACAAATTAACTAATGTGGTTTTTTTTCCATGAGGTAACAGAAGGGGTTTTTGAAGATAATGTGGTTGATATGGTGTATTTCTAAAGGTGTTTGATGAAGAGCCACATGACAGACTTGTCAGCAAAGTTAAAGCCTCCAGAATAAACAGCATTGGTGGAAAGTTGGCGGAGTGACAGGGAAGAGAGCAGATAACAATGAACATTTGTCTTGTTTTGGACTGGAGGAGGGTGCATAATAGGATTCCCCTGGAATAGGTATTGACTCCACTGCCTTTGTTAATCAAAATTAATAACTCAGGATTTAGGTGTACAGAATCAATTACAAAAGTTGCAAATCACGCAGAACTTGGAAGTATTGTGAACTATGAAGAGGAGTGATAAACGTCAAGAGGCCATTGACAGATTGGTGGAATGGGTGGTCAAATGACAGGTGAAGTTTAATCTTGGCAAGAATAATGATGAAAGACAATGAAATGTTTGTACACAAATTGTTGAAGGTGACAGGACAGTTTGTGAAAGTAATTAAAAGGCGTGATCTTCATAAATTGAGGTATGGCACAAAAATAACACCAGAAAGATACAATGAATCATCATACAACCTGCTTCAATCTCAGCGGGAGTACTTTATCCTACCGTGCATAACATACTTTAGGAAAGACATGAAGGCATAGCAAACAGGATAGATTTACAAAGCTTAGCTGTTCTCTTTAATAACACCTTCAATAAAGGTGTTAAAGAATCATGACAGGTATAGAGAGTAGATGGAGGGGAACTGTTACTATTTTCAGAAGGCTCAAGGAGCAGAGGACATAAAGACCACATCTAGTCATTTTCTTTCATCGACCAAGGCCCCTGAAGGGATATTGTGTGATAAGGAGCATGGTTAGTAAGTGCCAAAAAAGTCTTTGTGAATAAAGGAAGTAACTGCAGAGGTGAGGGTGGAGAGGTACTATGGAATAGTGGAGGTTAAGAAGGTTAAGGTGTTGGCTGTAGGGAAGAACAAAGCAAATGCCCTTGATTTTAGATTTAAAAAGTGGTCTATGAGCTCCTTGTATTTCATGTCAGAGAAGAGTACAGAGGGTATAGTGGAAAATTGTTGGAATTGTGCAGGAGGAATTCTGGAGGAGCCTTCTTCAAAAATGATGCAAAGAAATAGCCATAGACAAGATTGTAGCATGGAAGTGGTTGCAGCTGCTTTCCATTGTTTTTTATGGCCCACTCAATCTTAGTCATTATATTTGAAACCACAATGTTGCCTGTTGTACTAGATAAAAGAGTGACTCAGATATACATGCTCAATTATGTCAAATGAGTCATTATATTATTTTTGTTGATAAAACATAAAATATTGGGGAGGCAATGGCCTTGTGGTATTATCGCTGCATGGTTAATCCAAAGACCCGGATAATGTTCTGGGGACCTGGGTTCAAATCCCGCCACGGCAAATGGTGCAATTTGAATTCAATAGATAACTGGAATTAACAGTCTAATGATGACATGAATCCATTGTCGATTGTTGGAAAAACCCATCTGGTTCACTAATGTCCTTCAGGGAAGGAAACTGCCTCCCTTACCTGGGCTGGCCTACATGTGACTCCAGATCCACAGCAATGTGGTTGACTCTTCAGTACCCTCTGGGTAATTAGGGATGGGCAATAAATGCTGTCTAGCCAGTGATGCCCTTATCCCATGAATGAATAAAGAAAAAAAACATCAATGCCCTTCTGTGCAAAGGGGTAGATAATCTCAATTGGTAAAGACATGTGAATAGTTGGCACGGGTGATGGAGAACATTGTGCTAGGGCATTTTGCTGAGCAGTTGTCAATGTATATAATTACTGTAATGGCGAAAATGTTGCGTTTAAGTCGTGCTGGGTTTGAAGTTACTGAAATTTGGTGTAAATATTCAGATTCAATACAACAAGAAAATGAAAATTCCTGTAAATGTTTTAAAATCTTCTTTGTATATTTGTTTACTTTTTGCAGGCATGGCATTGTAACACTACAAGCTCAGTCTGAAGCCAACAGAAAACTTTGGTTAGAAGCAATGGATGGAAAAGAGCCAGTATGAGATTTTATATAAGAGAGATGGTTATCAGTATTGCCTCCTGTTATATTCGTCTCTATGTTCCACATGTTGTGGCATCCTAAGTGTTATCAGTGCCCTGAAGATAATGCTGGTTGGAAAGGGGAGAAAGGGATGTGAAGTGTGATTTTTTTTCTAAGCCCTTCCTTCTTTGCTCCTGTCTCACCTCAGATCCTCCAATCTGAGCAGGGCTTGTGTTCAGTTTATGCTTAAGTCCTCCTCACTGCTTCCCCAAATAGGCATCTATCTCACGTACAACTTGCTGTATTGCAGTTTTAATTATTTGGAGGCAGACAAGGAGAAATAATAAAAATTGTCCTTGATAGATATCTGAAGTAATTTGCCCAGCCATCCACAGGGCCATAAGAATTTCTTGTCCTGTAACATAATTTGTAATTTCCATATTTGCTTTTCCAGTTTGGACACGTTGAGCTGAATCTTTCAAACCTGCTTTTAGAAGGGTGGGTGGCAGAGAGGGGGAGGTGGTGTTGGTAATCTTAATTAGGTGACAGGCAAAAATTCAGCTTCCCAAAATGGGTTATGGTTTTTGAATCAAGTTTTCAGAACCTTACAAATATGCTTCTGATTGGTTAACATGTATTTTAAGGTACAAAACGAATTATTCCACACTCTAAAATCTACAAAAGAAAGTAAGATTGTAAATTATTTTTGTAAGATGCGGCGCAAAACTGAGTGGTAACAAATGGCTGAAATGCGATAAGAAAATTTGGGAAAGTGAAACTGAAAAATGGCTATCTGTTGTTCAAGATCCAGTCTGTAAATCAAAGTGACAGCAAAGTGTCAGGGCTGCTTCTGGATTTTCTGAAGTAGTACCTATAGTGTGTTTTTTTTAAATTAATACACACTGGTTAGAATATTTCTGTTTTAAATTTTCAGTTTAAGAGTAAATAGATCTATTAGTTTTTTGTAACACAGATCAAACAATATGTCCGATGAACCCCATGGAAAATTTCCAGATTGTTTCCATTCATAGAATATTGCACAGTAAATAATCTATTTCAGTATTTTTGCTATGCTCTTTGTGCTCAATTTGAAATTTTAGCTCAAATTATAAAAATCAAAAATTATTACCAGTAGTTTGGTATTTTGTCAAAATTATCAAATTGTTAATAATTTTTTTTTAGATATACACTCTGCCACCTCTTAGCAAGAAAGAAGAATGTAAGTAACTTTGTCTTCTCAGAAATACATGCATTATCATTATTCCTTACACACTTTTTAAAGATTGTCATATATAGCTCTTTATTTTAAATGAATACAAGCAAAATAAAGTTGCAACTCTATTAAATAGCAGTCAAGTATTAAAACATATTGTCATAGGTTACCAAACAGTACACATCAAATCGTGTCACAGGTATGTTCAATTCACACCATAAAACTCATGCTTTTCGATATTTCAAAATAGTTAATTATGTGGAGTTGATGGTATAGCAAATGCAGTTTGTTACTTCTATACTTTAAGTAGATAAAAATTTGTTAAAACGAAAAGAACTGCAGATGCTGGAAATCAGAAACAAAAACAGAAATTGCTAGAAAAGCTCAGCAGGTCTGGCAGCATCTGTGGAGTTAATGTTTCGGGTCGAGTGACCCTTTCTCCAGTTCTAAGCTCTCTCAGCTCTCTTTCCACAGATGCTGCCAGACTTGCTGAGCTTTTCCAGGAGTTTCTTTTTTAAAGTCTTGTTGTCATTTGTCAGCCAAAAGTATAACAGACTTTCAACCTTCCAGCTTTCCATTAGCACTTCACAATCAATAAATTATTTTTGAAAGGAAGACACTGTTACATTGGCAAATGTAGCTAATAATTTGCACATGCCAATGCTCCACAAGCAACAATGAGCTCAACAACAATCTTTTTATTGTTCTGGCTGAGGGATAAATTTGGCTACAGGAAGTCCCCCATTCACATACTGCCATAAGCTCTTTTGCATCCACCTGAGTAGGCAAACCATGACATCTCAATCTCAACAACACAATGCTTCTAAACTACTAAAATAAAGTAGTGTCCTAAATGTTTTGCTCAAGTATTTGTGTGTTCTCTGTTCATTCTCCAAGATACACTGCATTACAACTAGAATGCCTGCTCATGCACCCGTGTCTAGGAGAAATTGGTTTGTACACACATCGTGAAGACAATGAGAAGTCTGTCAATATCTGTGACTGTAAGTCTCCTTAGATTGCACCTTCCAAACTCACAACTGTTGCTATCGAGAAGGACATGGTAGCAGATACATGGGAAGACCACCACTTCCAAATTCCTCTTAAAATTCGTGATTTGAACTTGGAAAGATATTGCCCTTCTTAGATTGCCACTGGCTCAAAATCGAGGAACTCTCTCTCTAACAGCGTTGTGGGTGTACCACCATCAAATGGACTTCAATGGTTCAAGAAGGCAGTTCACCACCACCTTCTCAAGGACAATTAGGGATAGAACATAGAACATTACAGCGCAGTACAGGCCCTTCGGCCCTCGATGTTGCGCCGACCTGTGAAACCAATCTGAAGCCCATCTAACCTAAACTATTCCATTATCATCCATATGTTTATCCAATGACCATTTAAATGCCCTTAAAGTGGGCGAGTCTACTATTTTTGCAGGCAGGGCATTCCACGCCCTTACTACTCTCTGAGTAAAGAACCTACCTCTGACATCTGTCTTATATCTATCACCCCTCAATTTAAAGCTATGTCCCCTCGTGCTAGCCATCACCATCCGAGGAAAAAGGCTCCCACTGTCCACCCTATCTAATCCTCTGATCATCTTGTATGTCTCTATCAAGTCACCTCTTAACCTTCTTCTCTCGAACGAAAACAGCCTCAAAACCCTCAGCCTTTCCTCATAAGACCTTCCCTCCATACCAGGCAACATCCTGGTAAATCTCCTCTGCACCCTTTCCAATGCTTCCACATCCTTCCCATAATACGGTGACCAGAACTGTACGCAATACTCCAAGTGCAGCCGCACCAGTGTTTTGTACAGCTGCAACATGACCTCATGGCTCCGAAACTCAATCCCTCTACCAATAAAACCTAACATACTGTACGCCTTCTTAACAACGCTATCAACCTGGGTGGCAACTTTCAGTGATCTATGCACATGGACACCGAGATCT